ACATGTTAGCTGGAGCTGCAATCCAATGAAGACTGGAGGATCCACTTCTAGAATGTCTCTCTCCCATGCCTGTCAGTCTGCACAGCGCTGCTGAAGTGTCCTCACTGCATGGTGCCTGACTTTCTCCAGAGCAATCCATCCAAGAGGCCATTATCTTTATGACCTAATATCAGAAGGCACACTCCATCACTTTTGCTGTGTCCTCCTGGTCCAACAGATCATCTCTGAATCAGCGTGGCAGGGACTGCAGAAGTGGGAGGATACTGGTGATGATCACTGAGTGGGGCCATCTTTGAGACTGGCCACGAGTCAGTAGTATTACCTCAAGACACAGGTGAGGAAGCGAGAGTTGGGATGGTTAGCACTCAAGGGCTCAAGGCCACAATGGGGGCTGTGCAGCTGAGATCTGTAGCTACTCGTCTCTACCCTCCAAGCCTGTATTCCTCCCCATCTACAATGAAAGGTGAACTTATAGTGTATTTTGATGCACTGATGTTAGTTTTTTCAGGAATTTCTTGAAAATTGGGAAATTCTTCAGAATGTTATCATGGAAAGAAACATGGGACGTGTGGGTTGGTCAAGCTGAACCGGGGGCCTCCCTTTTTCCCTGAATGAATACCTCATTTTGGTGGGGCTGAAATTCTACCTTTTGCCTGGATGCCCCTTTTTAAAAATATTTTTTTTCTTTTCTTAAGCTGATGGGTAATTTAAACATGGGAAGAAATGGATCCTAGCTTTGTGTGTGTGTTTTTTTTTCTAATGCAACTCCAAAACTGACTTTATAGAATTTTGCAATGATCAAATAGTCTATTAGGGATAAAATTACGTAAACTCTGATTCAGTAATTTCCCTTTTGAGAATTTATCTTACAGAAATAGAGACAGTGGTATGTCAGGCTATAGGTGTGATGGCATTGGCCGCAGGCACTTTTGTTACAGACAAACACTGGAAATCACCTGAATGTGCACAGATGGGGGTTGAGTAAAGAAAGGTACATCTATTCTAAGGAACAATATGCAACTATCACAAAGTGTAAGTTGGAGGGAGAGGTGCCCGTGATGTACTGCAAAGTTTAAAAAAGTTGTAATGATATGTATTGTATGATGCTATTTCTGTAAATAGGAAAGTCCTGTTATCTTTGTGTGTATTTGCATTCATCTGGAAAGAATCTGCTTATCAACTGGATGGGGTGGGTGTTGCGATGAGAACAGATCATTAATTTTAGAAGGAAAAAAATACAGAATACATGGTGTAAAGTACAAATCTATACTTTGACTGTTTTATTAAAATGGTGATTAGTAAGTCTTCCCTAATCTGAGTATTCCTCTTGGCACTCTGCCCTCTTCTTCAGGTTGAAACAATTCCAGGGGTTCACTTTTTCTGGTGCCTTAAAATGGAGATGCCAAGATTTCCCTGAAGGAAGGCTATAGAAATAACTGTTTCTAGGGGGCCCATAATCACCCATCAACATGGAAGACAAAATGGGGTGACATTTTTTAAAAGGAGGAAAAGATGATGCCATTAATGTGCAGCCCTTACTGGTTCAAACTGTTCACTGAAGATTTTCAGCAAATGCTCTGTAGGCTTGGCAGGAGGGAGATCTGTTATTGAAGCCCTCTGCCTGCACTTAGCCCAGCGGCCATTTCTCAGGGAATATTGATCAAAAGTACTCACCTCCACCATCTCAGGAGCATAATGCAGTCCCTGAGTATTCATGGGGGAAAAAAAAAAAGCTTTTCTTTGCCAGGCTATTTTCTGAAGTCAAAAAGATCCTTTCAGGAGCTATAATAGCAAGACCCTTCCCACTTCACACCCTTGGTGAGAGGCACACTCCAATTTTCAGACCCCCAGGACCCCACGTCAAGGTGGAAGCTGACAAGTGTGACCTCTTTATGTAAAATATTCTCTGTCAAACTCAACAAGCATTTTGCTAGAGGGACAGGTGGTACATACAAGTGGAAGATTAAAAATTACAGCTGGACACATAGGGAAAGGGAACTCTTGTCCTGGAGAGAATTTATTCATTTATTCATTTATTCATTTATTCTTTACTTCACCAAATAATGTTTTAAATATAATTTTTGATTACATACACAATGTCCTCCGATATCTGAGGCAGCAATATCTTGGTGTGAATGTAAAAAAAAAAAAAAAAAAATCTAGTCAGTGTTTTTCTTGTCAGACATAGTTAAAAAGGGAGGATGCTAACTGGGACTTCCTAATTTCTCATTTGTTCTGTAAGAGGCAGAATCTTCCAGACAAATATTTCTTAACACGACAGCTTGTTATAAATTCTCACTCCCTTCATCTTATCCAATTTAAGTTAGGATAGTAGAGACTTGGGTATTCAAAGTACTTTTAATTTAAAATGATAGCAACAAAAAAGCAATCTCCAATTCCAGAAAATTCTTTTGAATGACTCAGAAAGAGTATCATTTCAGAGTTCCTGCTGTTTGGGCTGCTGTCATTTGCTAGTTTTGGAGGGCAAGTGTGAGAGGATATTTGGGGCAGGGAGAATGTCACTTTTGTTTAAAATTCCCCTGATTCCCAGGGCTGTCAGCTGGGCTTTCTATGTTGTCTGGGGGTGAAGATGTGGTTTAAGCTGCAATAGGCAGTGGGCAAAGAGACTCTATCTTCAGTTTTGGGAGCAAGTCTGTTTTCATTCTGTTCAAGGGCAGTCTTTGGGGCAAGTAAGGACACGGATGTGTCTTTACCTTCTTAACTCCTGAAACATAAAACTTTTCTCAGGGAAGAATGAACAGAATATTGTGGCCAAAGCTAAATCACTCTGTGGATCTGTGTGTACAAAGTGCAGGAGGACATCCTGGAGTGTGGCATCAACATGTATAGCCTATTCTTGTTCTTTGCCACAGTCTGTTTTTCAGGTCTGAAAACATAAGCAATTTTTCTTTCCAGATATGTATTATCCAAAAAACTTCCAGAATAATAGATAAAGGTCAATAAAAGCATCATCTTCTTTGTCCTTTGGGAGAATATTCCAGTAAAACAAGCTCCCTAGTTCTGGAAGACCCTGATCTGTTTGTGCCTGGTCCAAGTGAGAGAAAGGTCAGGGTGGCCTCAGGAAAACCTTCAAGGTAGCCAGAAGGAGCATGGAAACTACCAACAGTCCGTGCACTGGTGAAGTAAAGTGCTGCTGATCGGGGGTGTTGTCACAGAACAAGGCCCAGGAAACGTAGTTTCTCCTTGGAGCTCCACTTTGTAGCTGTGTGAACCCCAGGGAGCCATCTTTGGGCTTCAGGTTCAGTACCTGTAGAAGGAGGTGGTGGGAGTGTGGAGATAGTCCAGCTGATAGTCCTGGGTAGACCAGAAACACAGGGATGAAATTGACGGTGTGTTCCATCTTCATTACCTTATTAGTTTTTTGATTTGAAATGCAATTAAAACCATTTCCATTTATTTCTATAAATAAGAGCAAATGGTAATAGTTTCTCTTGACATAAACTGTTTAATAAATCAAAGTAGCCTCAATTTGTTTCTACACATACACAGATCTAGAACACTAGCTCAAATGTGTATAGACGTGACCAAATATAAATGTGTGAGTCTTCTTGCTGAGAGATACCCTGTACTGCAGCAAATGTAAAAAAACTCTGGCATGTTTCCTGTAACACTCAGAATATTTTGTTATGGCAAGGGTATACCTTAAAGGTATTCTTTCTTTAAATTCTGGCACCTGGCAAAAATCCCAGAGAGGTTGAGGAGAGCATTACTTGCAGCAATGGTCTTTTTGGAACCACTGGAAGTTGGATTCTTTTTGGAATTCTGCTGAAGGTCTTGCATGATCTGGCCTAACATTTGATGAGTAGTTTTTGAAAATGTGGATATATGATGACTGGAACACCCTCCCCACACCCCCACCTCATCTTTTGTTATAAATAAGACAATAAACTGCTTTATGAGACTTTCATAACAATATCCTGTGAAATTCAAGGACTATTTCCGGATCTGAAAGGAATCCATAAATCATCCTGGAGGGAACTGGGACCATCTGCAAAGTGGAATCATTAGGAAGGGCAGGACACTACCCTGAGCAATTCCTTGGAAATGTTCACTCACCTTCTCTCCACTCCAGGGTACACATGCAGGACAGGGAGTAAGGGCTGCCCAAAGCATCAAAAAATGGGGCTGGTCCAAGCCTCTCAATCCAAATCTATCTGCATGCAAGTCAGAATCCTTGAGAGGGTGAGGGGGACTTTAAAAATTAGATGCTGGGGTTCTACCCAGATGTGGTGGATCAGAATCTAGGTGGGGGATGGGAAACATCTTACGAAGCTTCCTGAGGGATTCTGATGCATGACAAGGCTCGAACCACCACTTCTAGGAAGCAAAGCTCTAAAACTCTGCATCAAGCTGCATTCCATGAGGTACCAAGTAGTAAACACATTTGCTACCAGTCCAAGGCTTTAAAAAGCTACATCAATTCAGGATCTTTTTGGCTCCTGGAAAGGCACCTGGACCCTTTTGGAGGTCACCAAGATGTCTCGTAAGTAATAGGTAATACCTATTCACTAAATGGACCAAAGAATTAATTTTAGGCAGCTTGACTGTCCAGTATGTTGAAAGTTCCCTGGTGTCCAGAGCATGGGAGTAGCTCAGGACACGGGTAGAGACCACCTGGCCAGGCCTCAGAATGTGATGGCTGAAGGCCTGAAGGCCATCGACGGGGCTTCAGCCATGCCAACAGGAGGCTGGTAATTACATTTTATCTGTCATTTATTCACAAAGACACACCCTCAAAGTTGGCCTCTCGCTCATCAGAGCCAGGGACTCCTGACTGACTGAGAGGTCAATTTTACATAAACACATTTATAAACTTCCCTGGATTGATACTAGTACCATTCTGGATACATAATTACGCTTTGGTTAAAAAAAGATGCTTTTGAGGAACTCTGAAAAAAGCAAGCCATCTTTTGTCAGATGTCAGGATAAACTTTATTTTCCTAGAAATGATAATGAAAACAAAAGAAACATATGGCACATAAGTATTGTGTTTCTACTTTATTAAATCATCACAGTAAATCAGAATTAAAGACAAAAAGAGGGTAAACTGGAGAGTCGAGTGGTGGTCATCAGTGGAGTTGTGTGCTTTTCTGGGTGTAGCACACACGTGTCTGCAAAGGTGGGTTGTACGTAGGGGTCTATACCACCTAGGCATAAACCCAGATGTGGGGCATTGGGCAAATTAAATATGAGATAGCAAAATTAAATCAAATGACATATTATAACTTAATTTACTATATTTATCAATTTTTTTTCTTATTTACATGTACTAAATGTTGTAGACCTGAAACCATAAGAAAACATTCACTTCATGTGTATGTCATACATAGATACTGAGCACAACTAGAACGATGGTTGTTTCATGGTGAACTTCCCTCCTGATGTGGACATTCTCCTTCAGTAGATCTAGACATAACGCACTTACATGTAAGACATCACAGTACGTTTTAAAGATCCCTCAAACCCCCAGATGACATAAATGTAACAGGAAGTGAAGCGCAGGTGGCCACACTGGGAGGAAGGTCAGGAAGACGTGATTTGCATTGTCTACGGATCCGCATGATCTCTTGTTTGTAAGGCTGAGGGTCTGATCAGTCAGCCCCTCTTATGAAGTCAAGGCTTAAGTCCCGTCCCTCCCCGTGGCTCTTAGCAGCTGCAGGCTTCACTGCATGGAGACCCTGTGACAGTCACCCAAGCTAGACTTCCTCACTATGGTCTACTTAAGATTTAACTATTTTTAAAAAGTCATCATTTTGTTTTTTTAAAGTACAAAAACCTTAGTGAGACTGTGGAACATCAACTTTGCTTTGGACAGAAATCAGTGTGCAGAGAAGTGAGGGGACTGGCCTGGCCCTGCCTGGAAGCCAGCAAATCTTATCCATTTTGGGCTGATTAGGGCTACTTTCAAGTACAGATGGCTGGCCTGCTAATGTGAAGAGTCAGCGTTGTGACTCAGGTGGGTCCCCGCTGGATGAGTGACCCCCCACAATTTTGCTGAAAGGCATTTATTACAAAAGCACAATATTTGCTTTTCTAAGTGAAAAAAAAAAAAAAAGGAACTTGATCATTCCAATTTTCCACCCCAAATAACAAAAGCAATTCAAGTCCACGTGATTGTAAGCAAACGTGGTTGCTAGATTCCCTGGTCCCCTCTTCCAGACCAAGGCTGCTGCTGACAACAGTGGGTTCAGATGAAGCTCCAGTCCCCAAGTGGCGGGTTGGAGTCTGGGGTCACGGGGATGTTAAAATCAGTAGGGCTTACAAGAAGTCTAGTTATTTGCTGCCTACAACTGAATTTCCCAATTTGCAGGTTAGGAGGACTGATTCCGGGAGGTAAGATGGAATCCTGGAGCAGAAGTCCATGGGAGTTCAACGTGACTTCCAAGTCCTGACACTTCAACTAAATCTGAGAATTCTGCCACAGGGGTTTCTAGAGCCTGGAAATGACATGTTCTCCCAGAAACTACTTGCCATCAGAGCCTAACTGGGACTCTGGAGCCCAGGAACATGTGATGCCCTTCCCTGCAGGAAGTAGGTCTGGGCACTCGGTAAATATGCAACAAAGCAGACTCAACAAATCTTGAGTCTGAGCCACTGGGGACATCCCAGAAAGCCCAAATCATTATACAGGTGGGGGTGGGGGTGGGGCAGGAGTGGGAAAGATAAGAATCGTGGCATTTGCCCACACAACAGAAAATGGCAGCACTTCCAGTCACCCTTAACAGTGTCATTAAGCCCCAGTGAGTGAACCAACTGGACGGGTTTATAGAACAGCCCAAAGTGATTGAGGCTTACTTCTGTTTCTCTCAGGTTCGGGTGATATCCAAGCTGCTTCTGTCTGTGGGCCTGGACCTCATGCCCTACCTGAGGCTTTCTACAAAGCTGAAAAACAAATTCTCTCTAGAATTAGAAGGTCTATCCTTTGAGTAGGAACTTCTTAATCTTTCCCCATTGTCCCAGAAGCAAGTCTGGTTCCTGGGACCTGCTTGTTTCTCCTGCAATGGTCAGGTACTAGCCAAACCAAGCCGATGGCTGACGGACAGAACTGACTGGTCAGTGAAAACAGCCACTCTGATGGAGTGAGGGGGCTCAGAGGACTCCCCAGGAAGGTGACCACAGCCACTGAGGGTAACAAAGTGGGCACAAGAGCAGAGAAGTAGAGAGTCAAGGGAGGTGGGGAAGCACCCTCGCATGGCTGATCCTTCTCTGGGCCTCAGTGGCTGCTGCCCCCAGTTCTGAGTCCCAGGCTTACTCTGGAGCAGGCTGCAGGCCTAGGAGAGAGGCAGAGGGCTGAAGAGGTCTTCCGAACTGACTGATTTTTCTGTCACTGACACCCTCAAACCCCCAGCAAGGATGCTGGGAGAGTGCAGATAGAAGGTTAGGTTTTTCTTTTCTTTTCTTTTTTTTTTTTTTTCTTAAACAGGCTCAACATGCCTTCCTTGGAGCCAAATGTGTAGAAAGCACCCATTGTGCCATGGCTCTCTCTCAGCAGCAGGCAGGAGAGCACAACTGCAGGGCGAAGTTTCTGGAGGCAGAGGGACACCGTAGGGGGTGCCCGTCTCAGTCGAGTGCCCGCATGGGTGCATTCCCTGTGTGTCAACTTAGTGCTATCCTGAGCTGGGCCCTTGAAGCTTCCTGACCTTAAGGAGCTTTCACAGGGACAGGACCCTGTTTCTAGAGTCATTTGAGGACCTCCAGGAGGATGCTTGGGAAAACCTCTCCCCAGTTAGTGGGCATTAGGCACCAGGTGGAAAACACTCAGCGACTCATATAAAACTTCTCCTGGGCAAAAGACCCTAGGGAAAGCCAATTTCCATGATGATGAAATTTTTGAGTAAACCATAAATCCTAACATCAGCACTAGCGAAATCAATGTGGAAAAAATTCCTGTTTGACAGCTATTTTGCTGGCCCTTCTGTGAATCATGCTTGGGTTTATAAATGAGAGGAAACAACTCGGAGTACAGAAACCAGCTACCCCCCACCCCTTCCCTGAACACCCAGCATCGTCTCCTGCTGTCCCTGCCCTGGAGCAGCCACACCAATGCCCACAAGCATGGGTTTGTCTCTGGTTGTTGGTGACTTTCCCTTTTTCTTGTTTGAAGCCCAAGTTTCGTGAGGTCCTAAAGCAAGATGACACAGCCGAGTGAGAAAGTCCAACCCTCAACATCTTGGGGGGTTCACCTTCAACTTCGGAAGTCCGTCAATGGGAAGATGTGTGGAGGGCACTAGCAGAGCAGTGATGTTTCCTGGAGTCTCTGGGTTTGGGGTTCTGGGGTCGGGAAAGAGGGAAGTCTCATTCATCTCCTCCTTGCCAAAAGGCGCCGTGAGGTAGGCACTAGGGCTGGTGGCCAGGGCCCTGCAAAGAAAGCAGAGAGAGGCCAAGTCACAGCGCCCTTGTGGGCACAGATTCATGAAAAGACTTGTGGCACTCAGAACACATGGAACCACGTTCCCAGAAAGGGGTTCTGATGACCTCCCTATGTCACCAGTGCAGAGATGTTTGCTGAACGAATCAACACGTGAATGTCTTTCCTCCGGGTCTTTGCTGTGGACTTCCCTGAAGCATAAAACGAGCTATGAATCTTTTCAGATTTCACTTGGCCTCACTGTCCAATCCACATGTAAAGAGTGAAGAGAAAAGGCATCTGACTGCAGTAAAACAAAGAGGAGCCAATGAAACAGTAGCATGGCCCAGAGTCAATGAAGAAGCAAGTAAAACTTGATGGACAGCTTTGGGGATCCCTGCCCTAGTTATTATTTATGTGTATTTACATATTGATATTTCACCCGATGAGTTACAACTCGATTATTCCCCAAAGGGTCTGGGGGAGAGGTTAGGACTAGGTTGCTTGTGTGAATGAGTCCAGACAAGCATAGTGCTGTTTAGCACTGGAGGGAAAAGGAGTAAACTCAAAGCCTGTGAATCTGCACCTCTCTTCCCCTCTCCCGGGTGGTTGCGAGCGTGCTCAGAGGAATCCAGGAATGCCTGCTGCAATACCCAGCCACTGTTGCTGCCAAGGCCTGCCCTCCCCTGGGGCAGTTCTGCGAGGGAGAGGATCTTTCATCACCCCTCTTGCCCACTGTAAGCTATTTTTAAGCCCTGTTCTATTATACCCCAAGCTTCCAGGCTTCGAACAAACCTCAGAAGCAGGCTTTCTATCCTCCTTCTGGCATGCTCCACTTCCAGGGGTTTGGTCTTTGAAATTTTTATTATTATTGGCATGGGAAATTAATTTATGTAAGTTGTCTTATTCACAGACAACATCTTTTCTCGTTTTCTGACCTTACCTATTGCTTCTAGGAAAAGCCTCTGAAATCAGTGCTCAACAAACATGCATGGACCTGAGAAGATAGCTTTCTCCGGTGTGTTCCCAATGCCAGCACTGGGGGGCTTTACCGTCCCTCCTCCCTGCTGGTCGCTGTAAGGCTGGGCAGAGACAGGAAATGTCCTGCAGCTCTCTCATGCTAGTCTCATCTTTAAAAACAGGCTACTTTTGACAAAGGCAGCCCAGCTATATTGCCCTCCATGACAGAGATGGCATTGGTAAAAGGTCTCTCCCTGTCCCCTTGGAGCTGGATATGGGGGTGAACAAACCCAATTCAATCCTAGATAACATTCTGCTTTGAAATACCTTCACTTCAAATTGTCTAAGATTTCACATTAGTCACTAGGAACCACTCTACCCAGTATTCTAATCAGATCAATTGGGAGAGAGAAAGAAAAACATAAAAAGCAAGTGAATGAAAGAGATAAAATGATGCTTGAAGATATGCTATTAAGTGAAAGAGCAGTTCTGGATTAGAAAGGAAACACTGAACCCCTCTAGCTGGGGGGCAAGGAGGGAGAGGGGGGTGCATGCTGCATTCCAGAGGCTGGGCAGGATGGCAGGCAGACAGAGGGACGCCAGGCAGGTGGGCTCTGAGGAGCCGCATGAAGCTCTGGGGCAAAGCGGCCCCCGTGCATTTGAAAGCAGTGGCCCCAACTGCTGGGGGTGCAGGGAAGCCCCCCCCCCAATAGCTGCAACCTGCATGGCAGTGCCCCCTGCATTCCTCCAGTCCCCGACTTCCTCCTGGCACACCCCCAGCGCGTGATGGCTCCTGCAGTGCCCACTGCACCCCGTAACTGACGGGGAGGCGGCAGCTGGGGAATGAGCTGGCAGACCACAAAGGGGGGTGGTTCCACTCGCAAGCTGCCGGCAGCCGCTCCACTTAGTTGGCCTCTTCCTCTTGCTGGAAGCTGGGGGTCTGTTCAAAGGACACTTGAGCCCCATGTCACCGTTCTGTGGCAGGAGCAGGAAGATCCCCAGGGATATGGGGTCCCAGAAATAGAATTCTGCAGGACAGGACTGTACAGCCCCTCTCTGCCCCACCCAGTAAGAGCACCCGGGTGTGTGGGGCTTGTCGCCTCTGGGGGCTCAAGGAACTAGGCCCCATTTGGAACAGTTCTGGGACTGGGCCAAAGCTGTGGCAGAGGGAGAAAGAAAGGGTAGCTGGGTCGGAGGGTCTGGCCTGCAGGTGGAGGAGGATGATGTTTTGGATAAATCCAGAAGTCTCGAGGCTAACATTCCACCTGCATTTTTCCCAAGATGGTGACGGGCATCTATGTCATGCGTTCCACTGTGGCAATATGGTTAATAAATGACAGCTCGCTGGTGTCCTCCGGTATTATTACTGTTAGCATCGTCACCATCTGGTGTCCCTTCCACCTGTGAGCCCATGAGTCGGTGCAGCCTGGGCCACCCCCAGCCGGCACTGCCACAGGTGGCCCCAGAGCCAGGGCAGAAAGGAGAGGCCTACAGAGGTCACACCTGCTGCAGCCAGCCTGCCCTCTGGGTCCTAAACTGCAGCCCATCCCCGGGTTCCTCACCCTCTGTGCTCCCCCAGCTTTTGTCTGCTCTTCCTCCCCCAGCTGTTCCATTCAGCAGTCCCCCCCAACCCGGACGACCTGCCCTCCCCGCACCGAGGCCTTGGAGGCGCCCGTTAAGGCGAGCGGTCAAAGGCCGGCCCAGCACGTGCCACATCTTATCGGCCCATCTCAAGATCCTGCTCCTCCTGGCTTGGGCAACAAAAAAGGGGGCGGCCCCGGGTCCACTGGCTCCCTGTGGCCCTTCACACAAAAGGGCGGGTGACAAAGACATGTTCCAGGATGGCAGGTGTTGGTGTCGGATTCCGCCCAGAGTGCACGGGCAGAAGAAAGGCGAGTCTGGGTTTCCCCGGGCAGCACAGACATGCAGGGGCACGAGTGTGGGCAGGGCCCCTCGGGAGGGGAGATGGGGACAGCAGGAACTAGAGGGGCATTTCAGTGCGGTGTTAGCCACAGAAGGAGGCTGGTTGGTGAATTTACAACCCCCCTCCCCAAAAGCAGGGACGTTGGGCAAATCCAAAGCGTCAGTCTTACCTTGCTCAAACGTGGCAATGAGACCTTTACGTATTTTAATCTGAAGGGAAAGAACATAAAATCAAATGAACACAAGCCCAGCACACCCGTAGCCCAACTTGATAATGAACGCAGTGCTAATAAGACATTTATTCCTGTGCTGCCTGAGTGTTGTCACTGCCTTGGAGATCATTACCAACTGGAAATTCACTAAAAATTCTACTTGGCAGGACAGAGTTCTAGCTGCGGTCACATTTATAAATGTGAAATGAAAGAGACAGTGGTGCTCCTAGCATGTGTTGTGCAGACGCTGTTGGGAGCTCTACAGACGCAGAGCAACACTGACCACCGTGTTTCTTTTCCTGTTGCCCTGTATCTGCTGACAGATTTGGTCTAACATATAGTCAAAGGTATTAATTTTCAAGATGAGCATTTGGAATTCAATGGATGACCTGAAAAAAGAATTGGCAGCCTCTAAGCATATGCAAGTTTACATGCCTCTTAGTTTCATGTCACTGGTTTCTGAGTGTACAGTGTGTGAACTCAGTCCTAGTGTCACCTGCGATACGATGGTACCCAGGGAGGAAGCACGCAGCATGCTGTGCGGAGGGCAGCAGGGAAGGGGACCCCACAGAGTTGAAATGGGACTGTAAGCTCACCCTCACTCACGAAGCTGGAGGATCTCAGCAGTCATGCTGACCCCGAGAGATGATCTGAGTATCACCGTACTTTGTGACAGGTTTTCTCAATCCGCCCCCCCGCCTCGCTCCCATCCCTCCCACAGACATCCAATTTCCTCTGTGGGTTTCTCTCAGCAAATCGTCAGCCTCGTTTTGTACCAGGCATAGCTCCTCACCCCAACCCCCACAGCAATCCTGAATTCAGTGTCACTTGGCCACCATTAAATCTGGACAAAGGACATTCATCAGTGACACGGCCCGTTGTCTGCATGGCCACAGTCATAAACTTGGATTGTCTGCTGAGCCCCTTGCCAAGGTTGGCACACTGACCAGGGCCAGTTTCTAAGTCGGTGGTTCAGAAGGCCATCAGAAGAACCAATGACATACTCTTAGGTGGGGCTCTCCAGAAGAAATGTGCACTTTCTATGATCTATTGAAAATATTCCCACCTTGGCAAAATTACTTGGGGTTTAGAATTTCAGGATAAATAACTGATTGTGGATGATAAGTCTTATTTGATTTTCAACCACTGTTACTTGCTCATTCTCTATACATTGACTGTGCTCTAGGGCACAGGAGACTCTTGTGACTGTGTTGATTGTTGGTAACAGACTAGAATGTTTTCCATGGATCCTCGATAATAGGATTATCTAGATTTCCTGTTTTCTCCCCATGCATTGTACTGTGGCACCCCATTTCTTCTCATGGAAGATGGCATATGTACAATGTCTCTCAGCGGGTGTCTTCCTTGAGTTGGGGAGGCCCAGCTTTTCAGGGTACCATGCTACCTACTCTTTCCAGGGTGAGCAAATGGGGTCTCTTCATGAAGGGGCTCCTTGGTCTCCCTCCCCTGCAGCCCTTCAGCCCTGGTTATGCTGGGCGTACCAAGAAAACAGATGGCGCAGCTAACAATGGAAGACTTGTTTGTAATTGCTGATGAGGACTGGTTTGCTCCTCTCCCCAGTGTGTCCCCAGATGCAGCCTGGTGTGGTGTGCTGGACCAAACAGAATGTCTCAGTGACTGCCAGTCCATGGGTGAGTTAAGGAGATGCAAAGACAGAGACAGTTGGGGGCTGCCTTAATTATTCCATGGGGCTCAAATGTCACTTGCCCTTGACACACAGGCAGTGCTACCAAAGGGTGGGGGCCCACACATGGAACACAGGAGTAGGCTGTCAGCTTCCTGATATATCCCTGGGGGTGAGTGTGAGACACCAACTAGCCTGGGCAGCGCTGGAAGGCACCAGAAGAGAGCACAGTGCTTGGAGGACAGGAGGCATGTGATGCTTAGGGGTGTTGGGAAGAGACACAGAGCATAATTATTTCATCTTTTCATCAGTTCGGCACCTGAGATGTGCCAGGTTCTGTTCCAGGCTCTTGGTTATAGGCATGAACAGAGCAGATGAAGATCCTGCCTGTGGGAAGCTTTGGTGGAGGACCTATGGCATGCATTCTAATTGGGGGGCAAAAATACCATATTTTTTATATGAAGAAAGCCCAGATACCAGAATGGTAAATAAACAAATATACAGTATTTGTGGAGTGTTTCGGTGGGGGAGGAGACCAATTAGGAAATCCAAATGTCTTGGGAACCTCCATAGTGGGGTCATAGTGAAAAAGACATTGAGCCACATTGGGTGATAGGGTTAATATGTGCATCAGATTCAAAGTTTTCTTGTATGTGTTGGGACTCGGGAGTAGCATTTAGACTTCTAAGAGCAGCGGGGTGGGACCCCTCTGGAGAGAGCCCTCCACACATCAGCCCGACACCAAGGGCTAAACTGTAGCCATTCAGCGGCTCAGACACAGAGCTGAAGCCCAGAGAACCCAGAAGTCACTTTTAGAGAAAGATGTCTTATTTCTTGGGCCTCATGCAGCTTCTTGGATACTCTGGATATCAACAAGGATTTCATAAAACACAGGACACAATAGTCTTGATCGGAGATCTGCTGTGTTCCCCACAGCTCTGCCTAGCGGAGGCTTTTCAAAAACTGGTGGGTCTTTTTGTGGCATGTGTTCTCTGGTGGGACTTGCTGGGATAGCAGAAGAGCAAGGATTTGAACGGAGCTTCTTATCTCTGAGGAAAGGCTGCCATCCGGGACTGCCACCTGGGATAACACTGGGCAGGGTCAGACAAGAAAAGTGGCTGCTTCTCCCTGGGTCCTTGTTACTGAACAGTCAGTGTGGAAAATGATTAACTGGTTCAAGATAATTAGGGAAGGGAATGATTTTGAGAGCTGGCATGGCTGAGGGAGAGAAACAGTGGACCACGGTTCCAGCTTTAGGCGAGCGCTAAATATCCTCCCAGCAGGAAGGCGGACAGAGCCGGAGATCAGAGAGCGGTCTGAGCTATTCAGACCCCTTGGAACGGCTCTGAGGAAGGGAACAGGTGCAGCCATGGATGGGGTAAGCCTACACGCTCAACTCAACACTGGCAACTCAAGACCAGTGGGAATCAGCCAGCCTAATTAACATTTCCAAATGGCCCAAGGATGGCTCCCAGTATTTCCAACCCAGCAGCAGTGGCTGTGCCCTGGCGCTGGCCCTGATACTGGGCTTCCTTTTTTTTGGTCGTTGGTCTTGCCCATCGACTCTGGTTCTGAATCAGAAAGCTGGGACAGCTGGACCAAAAGGAAGGCAGGCATCGTGCGGATTGTGTGCCTGCACGAGCATACGCACCTGTGCAGGGGGCTAGGCAAGTGGGTGGAAGGCTCATTCTGGCATTCTTCTCTTTCCCTTCCACAGCTATAATATACTTATATGGACCTATGGCTGAATTTAACTAAACTATCAATTGAAGATTAGCATCTTGGTTTGAACTTTTCTTGTCAGGCCCTCGCGGAGACAGCGGTGTCTAGACCCTCTTGCTATCTCACAGAATGTGAATACTAAGATCTCAGTTACATCTTAGCCATGGCAGGGCTGTTCATCTTACCAGACTGAATTCATATCTCAAAATAGCAAAACAGCTCAGGAATGTTGATAGCAGCAATATTCCTAATATAGCCAAAAAGCAGAAATAGCCCAAATGTCCACCAACTGATGAACAGACAACCAAAACATGGCCTACCATGACAATGGAATACATATTTGGCAATAAAAGAAGAGAAATACTGACATAGGCTACAACATGGATGAGCCTGAGACCATGCTGAATGAAAGAAGCCAGTTATCAAAGACCATGTACTGTATGATTCCATTTATACAAAATGTCTGGAATGGGCAGATCCATAGAGACAGAAAGTAGACTAGAGGTTGCCATGGGCTAGACGTAGGGTAGGGGGAGTGGGGACTGACAGCTTAATGGGTACATGGGTTTTTCTCTCTGTTTTAGGATGAATTAAAACTTTCTAACATTAGGTTTGAGGTGATGGTTGCACAACCTTGCGAATGTACTAAAAACATCAAATTATATACATTATTATTAAAAAATTTTTTTAAGGTTTGAGAGAGTAGACAGAGCACAAGCAGGGGAGGGGTAGAGACAGAAGGAGACAGATTCCAAAGCAGGCTCCAGGCTCTGAGCTCTCAGCACAGAACCTGATGCAGGGCTGTAACCCATGGGCCATGAGTACATGACCTGAGCTGCAGCTGGACGCTTAACTGACTGAGCCACCAAGTGCCCTGAGACTATTTTTCTAAGAACAAAACAATGCCAAAGAAACTTACCCTCATATCCTAGCTCTTCTGGATCACTACTGTCATTTTACATCTCTTCAAACAATGTTCTGTGTATCAGGGAGTTATCTCCCATGATTCTTCACACCAGCCCACAGGTTCCTGACCACTGGATTCTGGTGTGAGTCTGGTTGGGGGGTTGTCTTAAGCAGGTCTTGACCTGACTGCAAGTCAAAGTTCTGCCCATCTCCTTTTTACCTTCTTCCTCCCACCATGCAGACCCAAAGAGGTGGGTGTCACCATGCTCCCCTCACCTGTATAGTCCCAGTAAGGGGCTGTGTTCTGTGGCACTAGGGATATGGGAGTCACTAGGGGGAGGGGACGGGTAGGCCCCTCTAGCGGTCCCATGGAGAACGTTCAGGGGGAGCATCTCTTCGATTAGTACAACATTTATTCATTAGTCAACATGTCTTCTATGCCTGCTGTGTGGCAGGTGGTGGGAATATGTAGGGAATGAAATATTATCTATTATCTAACTATCCCTGCTGCCCCTCCCCTAGAATATCCTCCCCATAGAAGTCAGTGATCTTTTTAATCAAGAATTGTATCATGTCACCCCACTGCTTAACACCCTCCAGGAGCTGCCCTGCTCACTAGTGTAACAGCCAAAGTCTTTCCCTAGGTCTGTGAGGCTGTTCTGATCTTCCTCCTCCTCCTCACCTCCTTGCTTGCTTTGCTCTAACCATGATGGGCCCTTCACTGT